GGCCTTGGAATGCTCATTCCTAGTGGGATATCTCCATCAAATCCCTCTCCTCAGAGCTCAGGGAACCCTGGGGAAGTGGAGGCGGAAAGACTCTAAGAGTCAGTGGGGATCGAAGACACCAAGGAAGCAAGGTCTTCCATGCACAACAGGATCGACACACATGTGAACTCACAGAGACAGTGGCAGCATGCACAGGACCAACACTTGTCTAAGCCAGGTGGAGTCCCAGTGCTGAGAGGGGGAGTAGATCCAAAACCCCATCCCTAACCCAGAAACCTTCTCCAGTTGATAACTGCCCACAAAGGAAAACTTAGCATTTCCTGGCGGAGTCTCACTGGGTATACAAACAACTCTTAGGGGCAGATTCCATGGCGCGCACAACACAAAGTGAACTCAACACCATTTTTGGAGGCTCCTCACTTCTTGGGGTTTTGTCTAGGTATGATTTTTATTTTCTTCCTTACCCTTTTCCCTCTTTAGGTTTTTTGTATCTATATGATGACTTCTGTGTTATATTTTTATGAGATTTCTGTGTGTGTTCCTTGTGCATTTATCTTTGTATCTTTTCCTCCCAGCTGTTTGCTTCATCTTATTTCAGTTTGTTTATTTTTATTTTATCTTATTTATCATTATTTTAAGAAGCTTTTTTGTAGTCTTGAGAAAGAGTGAGAGCGAGAAAGTGAGTGTGAGTGTGTGTGTGTGTGTGTGTGTAAGAGAGAGAGAGAGACAGAGAGACAGAGAGAGAGACAGAGAGAGAGAGAGAGAGAGAGAGAGAGAGAGAGAGAGAGAGAGAGAGAGAGAGAGAGAGAGAGAGAAGATTTGGCTGGGTGGGAAGTAGAGGAGGATCTGGGAGGAGTTGGGGGAGGGGAAACCATAGACAGAATATATTGTATGAAAAGCAATTTATTTTCAATTTTACCAAAGGGAAAATAAGTGACGTTTAGTGAAGTCATCATTACAGGAGGACCAGCCCTAAAGACAGCTCTGTCTAACAAACAGCAGCCCTCTCAAAGTGGCACTAGACTGCTGCTCTTTTCTGAAATGCTTCCTTGGGAAAGCACCAGTAGCCAAATTCGGTCAAATCATAGCCATAGATTTTCCTGGGTGCGGGTGACCCGGCTGTCCTTTCATTCAAATATATTCTGTTTTAACATGGTTGCTATTTGTGGACATCAGAATTCTCAATTTCCCTTTTATTAACAAATACGTGATTCGATTATTTCAAACAAGAGCCATGTGATGATCCATCAAGAAAATTCAAGCCCTTCTGAGTACTGCAAGAGCTCGAGTATGGATGTTATCCTGCCAACGGCAGCTGTCCTCTAATGTCTGGGTTAGGATACTCCATGCTCAGCCACAAACAGGACATCCATACCATACCTCCTCTCTAGTGGTTCAGGCTCCATCGTGGAGAGGGGCCAGAAAGGCTGTATGAGAGAGCACCCACTGGACACAGTAAGACTGCTGCTCTCATAAACTCACAAGGTTGTGGTCGCTTGCACAAGATCAATAGTCAGTGTTCAACTTCTAGGTGGGAAGGGTTCACTAGTACCCATCTCTTGCTGGGGAGCCATCAACAGTCGATGGATGCTGAGGGGGGTGGAACGTCAGTTTTCTTTAAGGGTATAGTTCCCAGTAGGTGGAACACACTTCAGTAGATAGTCCTGCACGCATTGTATCAGCGGATTGTTAAGGCAAATAAAGAGGACCCAGATTGGAAGGGCATGAGGGTTAACTGAGGGTTCTTGAAGGAGGTGCAAAGAAGAATGGGGGGTGAACAAGACAAAGTGCATGGCTTGTATGTGTGAGATGAGTAAAGAATTAACAAGAATAATATATAGCATCCTTTTATATTTTAAAATATATTTAACTCAAACTTTTACTTAAATAATCGTAGGTAGCAGATGGATACCAAGTCACTCAGCGAGAACTTCATTTATTCCTCTTGTTTTGCATGAGTAAGGAGCGACTCAGAGAATCTATCTATATAGTTTCTAAGGAAGGAAGTCAAGACTAAAATTCAGACCTTGTGATTGCTAAAAGCAATGCTGTCTGTATGGTGTTCAGAGGCATTTCTGTGCATCTATGTGCACACTTAAAAGGAAAATTAACTGTTTTTAAATGAGTAGTACATTTTTTAAAGTACTAATTTTTAAAAGGGTTCAACATGATAAGTCATCTGGGAAATGCAAATTAAATGGGTGTTTTTAATTAACAAAATGTTAGTGTTTGATATTGGTGAATGAGATACTCTTTTCACAACTATTAATAAGGATAATTATTAATACAGTGTTGTAGGAGGTTCATTTTATGGCAGACATGTTATTAACACACATTTTAATAAACCTTTTCAGCTTTGTTGTTATCTAAAATGCCAGCATATTCATGAAGAAATGTGTTTGGGGCATTAAAATTGTATATTTTCCTGAAATCCTAGAAATACCTACCGGTTTAGAAGTAGGAAATGAATAATACAGATACAGAAAACAAATGAATGAGTTCTGTTTCCACATTTTCCAGTGATGTCCAAATACATTGTTGTAAAAAAAAATACAAGATCCAGAAAAAAGAAAAGTGCATATGCAATAGTGCCATTTATATAAGATGATGGGGGAAAGATATGACTTCATATAGTTTTAAGAATGTGTGTAAAGATACTGAAAAAAAGTTAGCTGGAGACGGGGTGACCACTAAAAGTTGACTTGTTCTTTTTTTATATATATATTTTGGTCTTATGTTTGTTAGATTCATCTTCAGTCACTGACATTCTACATGTGAGATCTTTAAGGCAATGCTGATTATTGAATATTACAGTTAAGTTAAAACACTTGATCTGAAGAACTATTTTTTTATGTAGACATCAGCAACTTAATTTCCTAGGTGCCTTAGACGTTGGGTCCTTGGTATGGAGCAGTGAACCAAACAGGAATATTCCTGCACCCAAAAGACTTTCGCTACAGTTTAGAAATAGATGGGTTTTCTCTGCATAGAACATTCCTTTTCTTTTTGGGGCGTAGGGAACTCTAGACAGGATTTTACCTTGGCTGTCCTGAAACTTGCTCTGTAGACCAGGCTAACCTCGAATTCATGGAGATTGCCTGCCTCTGCCTCCCAGGTGCTGGGATGAAAGGTGTGCGCCACCATGCTCTGGCCCACTCTGACTTTTATACGCTTCTCTTCCCCACAACTCTAATCCACCTCCTGCTCCTCCTGACTCCATTAAGAAGTGTATGGAGGACTGTCCAGAGGATACAGTCATAGCCCTCCAAACCCATCTCTGCTTAATAGCCATCCATAGGTGACCAAAGGATCAGGGCAAAACAGTACAACGTCAGCAGAACAGGCCCTCTTCACTTGTACCAGAAGTGTCCAGATGTCATCTACGACAGCACCTGAGCTAGAGAGCCGCCAACTTCAGAAATGACCGACTTAGCAAATGTGTTGCTGAGAGCATACATTGATGGACGTTGCCGACAGCGTGCACTTGGGCAACTACTAACTTAAAGTGCTGAAGCTCCAAGCACCCACACACAAGTTCTACACACACTCTGTAGTTGGATTGGTTTTTTCCAGTGGCGTTCCCTCCATAGTAATGAGGAGAATGCCAAGCTGTCAGAATGTCCTTCGAGGCCCTTCTACCAGTTTCATCTTCAACACTGTGTGAGGCTTGCCCACCCTGGTGGTGTAGACTGAACTCATGCTTCTGGGCCGCTTCTGAGAGCCACTGTTCATATTTCATAGCAATTGAAGTCTGCTCCTCGTCTCTTAAGCTTGCAAATGGAAATCCTGCCATTGCATAGTCTCAGCTGCTAGAACAACTTCATACTACCATCATCAAAAAAGACAAATGCTTAACCCCAGGAGGAAAGCAGTCTTCAAAGATCCTGATGTATCCCAGAGCAAAGAACAGCGTATTGAAGATTCTACACCTGTAACTTCTCAGTTGAGAACAATTCAAGCTCACACCTAAAGGCTCTCTGTGTGTGGAGCAATGCACCATGGCATTAAACTTCAGTATCACCTCCACCAGCCTGTGTGACCTAGGTAAGTACGGTAGATACTTATATTTAACCCCAGTGTCATCCCTACCTCCACCAGCTGGTGCAGCCTTCAAGTCCCTATTTTTCTCTTTCTTTGCGATGCTGCTCTATATTCCTATCTCAGCTTCTTACAAATTGCAGTTCTGTGAAGTCTTCCCTGAGTCACAAACCAGTGTCCTTCCTGCTCATATGATAACGCTGACCCCCCACACTCTGCTGTCTAACTTGTTACACAGCATTATTATTGCATAAATGTTCCTCAATTTATCTTAGCTTTATCATCTCATTTATGTTGCCGGTCAATGCACAATTATGACCAGTTTATAAAATATTGTAACGATTGCTAATGCTAGGAATATACCACACGTCAAGCTGTATAAACACAATCTCTCTGATCGCCACAAAACCCTATTAGAGCATTCATAATGTTACTGATGTGTTTGTAGTTGATGAAAGCAAATGCAGGGACGATGACAGAGATTGTTAGTAGGGCATCGGGGGAGTCAACAATCAAGCCCTTCTTGCTTTAAGGACCATGCTTTTAGCTGCTGCCCTAAAGCACTACCTGTGAATAGGAGCTTACAGCACCAGCTCTATGTGCTTACTGAACTCAGGCTCCGTACTAGGAGTGTCACACACATTAAGCTCCCTGAACCCTGGGATCTACATACAGTGGTCATAATACCAATTTTTCAAAGTGCAATTAAGGTTTAGGACTCTTAGTGATCTCAACAAGGTCAGAGAACTATGACTGTGAATGCAAGTAAATCTCCCTACAGAGCCCGAGTCCTAACCCACTCTTGATTCCATGACAAGATGGTAGGATGGACTTGAATCTTTGAAAACACTATACATGTTTTCAAGAATAACTAACTCAAACAAAACTGGTTCCTATACCCTTCTGAGCAATGCAAACCGACCGAACTGATCTACCCCCCCACCCCCCCACCCAGCACTCACCTTAACACGTGTGTGGATCCATTAATGGTTGTGGTTGAACAGGGGACAGTCTGGCCCAGAATGGAGGGTCTTCTGTAGCGTTCATCATCACAGCAGAGAATGATGAGGAAGGCACGTCTGAAAGACTTATTCAAGAAGGCATAGAGAAAGGGGTTCAACCCTGAATTGATGTAGCCAAGCCAAAGGAAAGCAGTCCACACCTGCTCGGGGACAGTGTAGTCTATGAACGGGTCCACGACATTGGTGACAAAGAAGGGGGCCCAGCAGAAACAGAAGCAGCCCATGATGACGCATAAAGTCTTGGCTGCCTTGGTTTCTGTCCGCATGCGATGTGTGCTGTGCTGGTCAGCTGGCTGGGGCCTGCTTTCCGGGGTGGCTCCTGCTCGTTGTAACATCTGGATCTGCTGGGCATGCTCCTTAGCAGTGACATAGATGCGGTAATAGGCCAGCACCATGAGGAAAAAAGGGATGTAGAAGGCTACAACGGAGCAGGTGATGGCGTAGGGCTTGTTGACCATGAAGACACAGCATGTAGAGTTAGAGTTGTGGTTGAGTTTCCTTTTCTCTATCTGAGAGTGGCGGGCAGGGAGAAAAGGAGGGTGGGAAGGTGAGGAGCAAACAGTGAAAAAATGTCAAAAGTGAAAAAACATAGGAAAAAATGGGAAGAGAAGGGAAGAATAGGAAGAAGGTAAAGAAGAGGGCCAGGGTGAAAGAAGGGGAAAGAGAAAAGAAAAAATAAGGTTTATCATTAAAATTTTATTTTTCTTACAAATATATAGCACACAGGACTTTCATGGCAGAAAAAGAACATATCCCAGAGTTCAAAGAGCTTGTCTGTGTGAAGTCTCAAGAAGAAAAGGAAGATAGAATTGGTAATCATTCTCAATTCCATCTACATTTTCTTCCTTGTCTGACATGTTCATAACATATGATCATCCCTTAACAGGATGCCTTAGATCACTACCATCAAACATGTTTATGATATGTGCAGATTTTGACCCCTCATATAGATCAGTTGCTCAATTTCTTCATTTTAGCTGCCACATTTTTAAATAATAACTTTGTTAGTATTTGAAAACTTCACCCTGTATCATTGTAAACCCAGATCTTTGGGGGATACTGAGCTCCTCCCCAGACCTGTTTCTTTGCTCACTAGATATACTGATGGAAGTTTTACCATTAAGAAAATATGGTACTGGAAGCACCAACATAAAGAAATGAGCAAAAGAAGCCTAGGGCTTGGGAGAAAGGAAGGATAATATTTCACAATCACAAAAGATAAAACACAGCCCCTGTCTAATTGTCCATGGTTTTACCTCTCATGGTTTTTGTTAACACAGGTCAATGAGTTCAAACATTGGATAAAGAAACAATCCCTAATTTTTAAATTGTATGTCATCCTGAGTAACATTAAAAAATTCTGCTCCATTCTCCTCTGTCTCACATAGGGAGTGAGTCATCCCTCTCTCCAGCATGTCTACAGTATATATGTCACACAATCATTAACTACTTGGTAGCTTTCTTACTCATCAGAATGACTGTTGAGATACTTGCCTTCAAGTAGCCCTTATGTTACTTCACAATGGCCTAAAGCACAAGATTAGGGCAATTTGATGGCAGCATGTAGCCGTAATTGTTCTACTTTATTACCATCATTGTTATTGATCTCTTTCAGTGCCTAACTTATATGCTGAATTTTTATCATACATGTGCATAGGGGAAATACTGTGTGTATATGTAGTATATATGTAGAGGTTTTAGGAATCCTCAGGGGTCTTAGAATGTAACACCTAGTGGATAATGGGCTATTCATTTTTGTCTCCTGTCTTCTACTGAATCCACTCCATTCAGGACTTATTTCCAGTCATTCCATTCAGACTGCCATGGTCAAGGTTTTCAAAGACCTCCACAAATCTAAGTCTTATTTTAAATCAGCTAAGGTATTGATGTATTAATGTAATGATGCATCTGAACCTCAAAGCCCTCCTTGCGATACATATTTTATTGAAGTAAAGCACAGTATACAAAATCATAAATGTGTATGGTGAATGGATTTGACAAAGTAAAAATACATATGTAGCCACACATGTACAAATCAAAGTATAGAATATTAGTGGCATCTCTAATGCCTCCCAAATGCCCCTCTCAGTTATAACCATATAGTTTGTTGTTATAGTCATGTCGTTCCCAATGGACTGTATCAGTGAACATTCCTGCCACTAGGCTAAGAGCATACAGGTTACTCTACATCCTAGGTATCACTTGCTATTGTCTATACATAGTTGTTCCTTGTTTGTGGGCTTGTTTAAAACTTTGTGAAAGTACTATCCATTTCTCTCTTTCTCCCTCTTCCCCCCCTTTGTCTGTCTCTCCTTCCTTCCCTCGCTGCCTCCCCCACCTCTCATGTGTGTGAATGTGTGTGTGTGTTAGTTCTTTGAGACGTTTAAACAGTGTGCTTTGATACTATTCACCCTTCCTCCCCAAGTCTTTCCAGATTGGACCTTTTCCTTTTTCGCTCATTTGTGTCTTTAGACTCAATTCATGTTAGTCTTCTTCGGCTCAGTGTACCCTGGTCTCTGTATTCTGTTCCATGTTTATCCCACCTCACCTGAGGAACTGAAATTTTTAATCAAAGACAATAACATAGAGCAAAGTCTAAATTAATCAGGGCTGTTCGCTTTGGGAATATGGTTTTACCACACATTTCCACACTTCTAGATGTCAATTACCACTTTGCTATTTGTCTTGGGAAGTCATTATTCAGGAAACTGACCCTTAATAAACATCTATATAGGTCTTTTTTGTTTCAATAGTTTGATATTCTATGTTTGATCTTCTTATATTTGATGCTCTTATATTCTTAATATTTGATGTTCATTATCAAATCTATATATTACAGATTCTTGGTTTATTTTACTGTTTTCTTACTAGTATTGGGTGATGGAAATTTTAATTTTAAGAACCTTTAGCTTCAGTTAGTGCCTTTGTGGCCTGTTAAGAAATCTTTACCCCTCATGGTAAAAATATTCTCATATCTACTGCTTGAGGGCATTTTCTCATATCTTGGTACACATTTGTTGTGTGAATTTTTACATTGTGAATTCTTCAGTTCATTTGGTATATACTTTTTCTGTAAAGTTTTTGTTGTTGTTGTTATGGTTGCTACAATAAAACACCATGATCAAAAGGACCTTGGGAGGAAAGTGTTTATTTTATCTTAAAACTCTCAGATCACACTCTATCCCTGAGGAAAGTCAAGGCAGGAACTCAAGGTGGGAGCCTAGAATCTGGAACTGAAGCAGAAGTCATGGAGGAGTGTTGCTTACTGGCTTGCTCCCCATGGCTTGCTTAGCTGTTTCCTTATTTATGCAAGCCAGAATCATCAGCCCAGGAGTGGCACTGACCACAGTGATCTGGTCCCTCGTACATCAAGCATTAATCAAGGCAGTACTCCCATAGACTTTCCTAAAAGCCAATTAATATTATGGAGGCATCTTCCCAATTTGGATTCCCTCTTTGCATGCATGATGAGTTTTTGTCACATTGACAAAAGCAAGCAGCACAGGTATGGAGTAGGAGAAAGATTTTTGTTACTAGACAATCCAAATTTAATAAAAAATAAAAAATTAAAATGGAATGGTAGGAAAATCTTGAGAGCAATATAGAAAACCCTGACACACAGCCATGTGCAAATATATCTTCCTATTTAACCGTTTATTTTAGCAGCATAAAACATCTTTGTCTGAAGTAATACTACATGTGTTAAATTTGCTTCATCGCATGTAATAGTAAAACTATACAAGCTTTTTAAAAATTCAGTACTTCTTCTACCCTTCTGTCTACCCCCCTGCCTCCATGCTTTCAGTTTTGTCAGGCGATCTTGTCTGTTTCCAATTTCCAGGTGGGTCTGTATATGTTTTCCTTTGGGTTCACCTTATTACATAGCTTCTCTAGGATTGTAAACTATAGGCTTAATGTCCTTTGTTTATAGCTAGTATAAGGGGAAGAGGAGTGGAGAAGGGGAAGGCTGAAGAGAACTTGAGGGAATAGGATAGTCGAGATGGAGGAAGGACAGATATGAGAGCAAGAAAAGAGATATCTTGATTGAGGGAGTCATTATGGGGTTAGCAATAAACCTGGCTCTAGAAAAATTCCCAGGAAAGCACAAGGATGACCCCAGCTAAGACCCTAAGCAATAGAGGAGAGGGTGCCCGAACTGGCCTTGCCCTGTAGTCAGACTGATGATTATCTTAAGTATCATCACAGAACCTTTGTCCAACAACAGAAGGAAACAGAGACAGAGACCCACATCGGAGCACTGGACTGAGCTCCCAAGGTCCAGTTGAAGAGTGGAAGGAATGGGAATATGAGCAAAGAGATCAATACCATGAAGGATTCAGCCACTGAAACAGTTCACCTGAGCTAATGGGAGCTCACCCAACTCCAGCTGGACTGAGAAGGAGCAAACATAGGACCAAACATAGACCCTCTGAATGTGGTTGACAGTTGTATGGCTGGGACAGACCGAAGGGCCATTGGCAGTGGCACTGGGATTTATCTCTACTGCATGTACCGGCTTTTTGGGATCCTATTCTCTTTGGATGTATACCTTGCTCAGCCTAGATGTAGAAGGTAGGATCTTGGGCCTTCTACAAAGCAAAGTGCCTTACCCTCTCTTAGGATTAGACGGGGGTGGGGTGGGAGGGTGTGTGGAGGGAATGGGAGGAAGGGAAGGAGTGGGAATTTGGATTGATTTTTTTTAATCTAATAAAAAAGTTAGTACTCACAAGGTACTGTGATTTTTCCATTTTATAATTTTTTAACCTTTATACTGTATTCTGCACAATGAAGCAGCATGTATTTTTCTAGATTCAATATAACAGCATTTATCTTTTAGCAAATTTTCTTCACAGAATTTAGTCATTTGACATTTACTATAATCACAGGTTGAGTCTATCCATCTTAAGACGCTGTCACTATTCTATTTCTGTGAAGAGACACCATGACCTCAGCAACTCTTATAAAAAGAAAACATCTAATTCGGGTCTTGCTCACAGTTTCAGAGACTTAGTTGATTACCATTATAGTGGGGAGCATGGTCATAGACAGGACAGGCATGGTGCTGGAGAAGTAACTGAGAGCTGTACCCTGATCCACTGGCAGAAAGAGGCTGGGCTTGGTATGGGCTCTGGAAACTTCAAAGCCCCTTTCCAGTGACACACTTCCTCCAACAAGGACACACCTCCTAATCCTTCTAGTCCTTTTCAAAGAGTGCCACTCCCTGGTGACTAAGTATTCAAATATATGATTCTAAGGGAGAATTCTTATTCAAACCTCTTCCTTGGTTTTTCGGACTCTTTCCTTCATTTTCTTTTACTTATATGTTCTCATCTTTTCCATGAAGACCATGTCCATCTATGACATATAATTACCACGTTATTCTTTTTGACAATACAAACATCTTAAACACTGAATCTTCATTTTCTCATCCCATTCTTTTCTGGTATGTTGATTTTTGTGCATCTTAATGCTATCTGTACTAAAAACAATCCAGGGGGTATTAATCATA